ATCTTCCCCTAACAGTGGAATCCGAGCATTTGGTTTGAGAAAGGGACCGAAAGAGACTTGTATCAAAATGCACTCAGAAAGTGGTGTTCCGTTGCAAGATGTCAATGGCGGTACAAGTGAAGGAGCATTGTAGACTCACACTTGAGGGGGAGTGTTGGAATAATATAGCAAGTGTGAGTAAGTGAGAAAATAGTCTCAACCCACTCACCTATCACCTTAAGGTTTTAGGTAGATAAATTGTGTGTCTCTCACAAAAGTGTCTAGTCTTATACTATGTATCAATGTTCCTAGTATCTTCCTCCAACATCCCTTTCAATCATGTAAAGCTCTTTAAGTAAGACTAGCTCAAGCAACCCATGAAAGAGACGAAATTGAGAGATATTGTAGAATAAATTCCATTGAAGAGAGAATCAACTAATACATAGTGGAATCTGGTTTTATATCACAATGATAACTCTTAAATTGGATTGCTTATTGAGCCAGTAAACTTGTGACTTTAGTTGTGAATAACTCACTTTTAACCATTTAACCACCTAATCAACAAACTAAAAGTCCAACTAATAACAATCGAACAAAACTAGTTAAGCTATTCAATGAGCTTTGGTATTGCTAGCATAGTTCTAGAAACGAAACAAATTTATTTAATAAAAACCATAAATACAATATTTATATGATATCTAAATTTAATGTATGTAATTATTATCAGAGTTCCTCGAGAAGTAATTTTCTTGAATATATTATTTTATACGTTTAAAATAATATTCATCCACACTTAAAAAAATATAACTCTTTGTGATTTAGTGAATGGAGATGAAGAGAAAAATTGTGGTTTAACTAAAAAAATGTTATCATTTTGAAAAGAGAAGCTTAATTAAACAAACAATATAAACAATGCAAGTAGTTACGTACATTTGTGACAAATTTGTGATATACTTTATTTTTGTTATAATAAACATTTCTCTTATTATCACTAGGTTATTTGACAACAAACATAGGGAAATTGTAACAAAAAATATTGAGAGTGTCCAAATATTGAAAGTGTATAAGACAAAGAATAATAGTTATGTATTGACGGTTATAAATATTTTATGTGTGTATTTGATTAAATTATATTAAAATATCATTTTTATGGGTTGTTAAGATATATCTTTACAATTATCTACATAACATAATATTAATTAACCACATATATAAAGAAATTATATAATTAGTACGTAGCTATTAATTTCTACAAAATAAATGAAAAATTTAAGTTAACTTATAGTTTTCAAAGAAAAAGTGATATACATAATACATACATGTATATATTGTGCAGAAGGTGAGCTGAGCTCTCAATCCATCAAATAACAAGTTCTATATTAGTGTATTTTGTTGGTGTTTATTTTTGGTTATGGTAAATAATGTTGGTGTTTTAATAAAATTTATTGACGAAATCGATCAGAAAATCTCAGTATAATATTTCAATTTTTGAGTGTTTTTACAAAATGTATTTAAAAGGATTCATTCGACTAATGTCAAACGAGTTTATAAGTAATAAAGCAAGACTTGTAAAATAAAACAAAATACGTTTTAAACTGTAAATATAAATGACATAACATCAAAGATAGTTGAAAATAGGTTGATTCAAACTTACATTGTCCTAACTTGATTCATTTCGCTCGTTCGGTTGAGTACACTGAGTGACTAGCGTATAGGAATGCGAAAGTTTGAATCGTTTAACACTATGCACTAAGTGTTTTATTTATAATACACAAAAATAACTACTTTCTAGCGGATTTTGCTTCCTTATATGCCACGTGTGTCTTGTAACTTCCCTTCATAAATCCACGTTCTCTATTCATGTTGTCGACATCACGTTCTCCATCCTAACACCTTGTTTTGCTAGTTATGCACTCTTTAGACTTTTTAACATTCTTGGGTCCAATCCATTCCTCATGAGACCTCTTTCCGATCGACTATGTCCACAAATTTAATTGACTACTTATAAAATCTCTTCCGATCAACTGCTTTTATAATCAACTTCTCATAATTTAAAGTAATCAAAGAACCATTTTAACTTTTGGTTAGAGTTTAATCTTTATAAAAATTCCTAGCCAACAATAACTACAATTTTGTGGGAGCTTATAGATCAAACTAAATACATTACTGTAGTTAGTATTTTATACAGGACCACATTATACCAATAATTTGTAAACGATAAACTCTTATTATAACACAATTAATAATGATGAAATTGAATTAACAAGTAAAGTGCACATGAAAAGGGGATGATTGCTTCAAGGGTACCTTTCTAAGTGTTATGGATAATTTATGAAGGATAAAAAAAAACATAATTTGAATTTCCATAATGGAAAACACGTTATAGGAGAAAACAAGATTTTGAAATATGAAAAATATGAAAAATGAGAGAAGATAGTAGAAAATATATATAAAAAAAAAAGTGAAGGGTATGAAAAATAATATAATTAAAAAATTCATTAATTGTGAAATAAGTTGTTAAAACAATTTGACAAGAACTTGAAGACAATTTTGATGTTTCTCTTATTGTGTCTGGCATTCCTTGTGCCAGGTCTAAGTTGATTTTTTATATAATTTCATTTGGCTTTTAGAAGAAAAAAATCGACAATAACTTCTTTTTGTTCCCATATTTTCTTTTTCCAACTCATTAACTCTCTTTACTCATTGGTGCCAGCTTTTTTTATTAGAAAAATACATTATATGAGTTAATCTAATAAAAAGAATTGGACACAAGCAGTATAGATTAATCATTTAAGTTGATAACGACTACAATAGATAAGTATCATGTGCAATTGTATACATTAATTTTTTTATTCAGAAAAGTCATAATAGATGGTACTCACAACTGTAGAGATTAATCTATTAAATTAAGAAAGATTACAATAAAATAAATAAATAAATATCATTTTCATGTAATTATAGAGATTAATGTCTCGAGTTGGAAAAAATTACAATAGACGATACATGCAATTGAAGAGATTAGTCTTTCGAGTCGAGAAGAATCGTAATGAACAAATATATTCTGCGTGCAACTGCAGATAATAATCTCTTGAGCCACAAAGAATTAGAATGGACGAATATCCTCTGTGCATAATTATAAAGATTAATCTCTCGAGTCAAAGGATCACAATAGACGAACATCTCTATGTACAGTTACAAAGATTATTATCTCGAGCTAGAAAAGACCATAATAAATAAATAAAATTTTCTTTAAATTTTTTTTTAACACTTTTGCTTGTTATAAGTTAAATTCAAATTCAAAACCTATGAATAAGTTATAATAAATTTTTTATCATTCAATGCTTTTGGATGTGTAATCTAACATATGATCCAATTAATATTTAATATATTTAATATTAATAACATGTGTACTGTCTGATAGAAGTGGCAGCATGGGCCCAAAAGCTTTTAAGAAAAATAATAATAATAACAATTGATAGAGAATCCATTGCAATTTGCTTATTCTCTAATTAACTAAATATTTTGGAAATTCTAATGGTCCTAACATACTCTAGAGTAGGTTCATGTCTAACTTTTGCATGATACTTGGGTCTACAAATTGGACCACATTTCTGAAATTTATATCTACAAAAAACCACACAGCCAAACATAGCCTTGCCAATGAACCAGTCTTGTTGCTAGCTTGATTGGCATAATACATTAGAGCACTTAATGATTTTGTATCCAATGTTTGTTCAATTCCCATTTTCACTATTATGGTTTAAGGTTCAATATTGACCATGCACCAAAAGTACAACACAAATAATGATTGTACTACTTCTACTTCTGCATTTACACAATTTACCATTTACTATTTCACTAAAATACAAAATATGAATCAAATATATTAATTATTATTCGACGAATGTTAAAAGTAAATTTTTTCTTATAAATAAAAATCGGACGAAACTTTTGATTTTCTTTTGGCTATACTATTCTTAGCCCCTACATTGTTGTTTCAATTTTCATATTCTTTTGCTACAAATTCCACTCTTTCCCTCCCTCATTTCTTCTTCTTTTTTTGTCTTTCCTCCCTCTGACAAACTCCACATGCTCCTTGCTAGAGGTCCAACCCACAGACCCACCCACGTTGTACTGTCTTAACACACACAAATGATAGGAAATGACCATAGCAGATCTGAGTCATATGACCCACCCTTTCACACATATACACCTTTCCCTTTCACCATCTCTCTTCTTTCTCCAAACTATTTTTTATTTTTATATTTTTAAGAATGAAAAAATTTTATTTCCCAAAATTATTTTTATTCTTTTATTGAATAGAAATTCATATGAAACGGCATAAATTTAATGAGATTAATATAAATTTGACCAGAGTATTAAAAAATGAACCTTACTTGGAAAGTGTATGATTATTATTATTATAATTACAATTAAGCTATTTTAATAACTCCATCACATTCTCACACATTTTGACACCCAAAATTCCACCCATTACGTAATCTAATTAAAAATTTGCCACTAAATCATACAAATAACTCTTTATAAAGGCTAATTCAACACTTGCCTAGTTGCATAATAATACAAATCCACCACAATTTCTCTCACAATCACTTTATAGCCTTAACAATACCTCTCACTCTTTGATAGATAATATAAAAACACCTCTTCTTGGGTCTATAAAATCTCTCTGAATTTACTGCTCTACCATATATCACTTTGGTATTGCTTCATTTCTACTTCTTTTTGTTCCTTCTGTTTTTGCACAACATATTCTCTCCAATTGTTATGTGTAATCCCAACATGATTCATAATTTATGTAATGTAAATTTTTTGTTCTTAGACATTCTCTTGTCTTCTTCACACATGTCTCATGACATGTAACTCATTCTGAAATTTCATCTATTTTTTATACAAAACTCTTGTTACATTGTGACATATCAAATTTTTCTTATATATTCAATTTCAACCAAAGGCTTGTAGAGTTCAGAGAATTGAGGGGGTGCAAAAAGTATAAGAAAATGTCTAGAAAGAGTTTGAAATCAATGAAGAATGAAAATCAAGAACTGCAGAAACAAATTGGATGTATTAGTGGATTTTTTCATATGTTTGACCGTCACAGATTCCTCACAGGCCAGAGCAACAGTCACAACAATATACCAACTCAAGGTTATCTATCATATCTTTCTTTTCTTTTGTTTTGTTAAGGTTATTATGTTTTTTTTTTTTTGTATTGTGTTTGTTATGTTTTTGTCTGATGAATTTTCTCTGATCATAATTTTATATATGTTACAAGTTATGAAATTGAAATTTTCTAAAAAAATTATCTTTAAATTTTTCAAAGGGTTAATACAGAAATAATATGTAATTTAATTGGTTAACTAAGATATGATTTTGAGTAAAAGTTAAAAAGAAAAAAATGTCTTGATTAATTGAATAATGTTTTGCAAACTATTAGGCAGACAAGGTTTTGATAGTGCCAAAAAACTGATTTTTTTCATGACTAACAAACATGATTAATGGAGAAAATCAAATTGACATAGACATCAAACTCTAAATCGCTTTCTTTCAACAGTATTGGAAGTAAAAAAAATTGTTTTGTTTTGTGTTGTTTTGTTTTTCATTCATTTTTTTATTTACTAATAAAACCATACAAAGATTTTGTTACAGAGGTTAAAGAAAACTTGATATGTTTACAAGAAACAAGAATGGTACTTAAGCTTTATTTTACTTTTTATTTATTTATAAGACTTCTTTTTTTATTTATAAATTTTTTTCAAAGGACTTTGGAACTTGGAAACTAGAAGAATATGCTGATTTTTCTGGGAAAATTCCAGAATTTGTACATTCCAAAATAACACATAGTGGTTTTGTGAAAAAAGACAAGAATCATTTAATTATGTGAAGCATTTTAGGTTTGAGATTTTCTATGAAGATTTCTGAGATTCCATACGCAACTTCCATATATAGAAATGATTTATTAAATAGTTTTAGTACTATTAGCTATATCTATCATAAGACAGATTACTTTATAGGATTCAAAATTCATTTCCGTTAATTTGTGATTAAATAAAATCTCATGAAATATTTGTCACGATTAAATTTTAGTTAAATGAATTTTTATTTATTTTTTCAAGGTTGAACTGCGATTAATTTATACAAAACTTTCAAAAATATGAGATAAACATTTAGTTTTGGCTATATAAAGTTTGATTTTGCGGTGATAAAAATTGATTATAAATTTATCGATTATGTAAAATTGATGTTGAGTATTGATTTTGCAAAGTTGTTTCTGACTAAAGTCTATTTCCTTTATCAGGAGGAACAAGTAATAACATCAAAGAGCTGAATAATGCAACACAAAAGGCAAAGAATGTGAAGGTTGCAAGAGAGATTCAACAATCCTCGACAGAATCGTCGTCAGGAACATCGATGTTTTCGTCGTCTTGTTCATCTAGCATGTCATCCCTCGAGTTTAATCGAACAGTACAGATAGAACCTCCACCGTCGGTAACTCAAATGAAAATCAACGAAAACTCGAGTTCAGAAGGAGCATTGGAGCAATGTGAGTACGAAAGACGGGAGTCGCTTGATTTCCACGATATTGTCAAAGACTCCATGCGTATAGATTCACCAAGGTTATCAGTGAAAACTCTGGTTAAACAGGAAAAGAAGAGTCGAATACTGAAAAACGTCGACTCTCCACGGCCTATGACTGCTTGGGATTCGCCGAGACTCTCTTATGATGGGAGAGATATACAAAGTACATTAAAATCTGCGACAAAGTTTAAGGAGCTTCCTAGGCTTTCCTTGGACAGCAAGGAAAGATCAATCAAAAGTTTCAACGAAGGAACGAAAACTCGGCTGCAGAAAGTGTGTGGAGCCTCCAACACAATTGGAAAGCAGATAGAAGAACCCGAAAGTGCGAAAAGACCATCGAGTGTTGTGGCAAAGTTGATGGGAATAGAAGCATTCCCCGACTGGAACGAGACTTGTGACAGCTGCAACACCAACAAAAACGAGATGTTTGTCGGGTCTAGGAAGGATGGATCGATCACGAATGTGACACCATATTCGCAATTTTCCAAGAGTAGTGAATCTTCAACAAAAGCATCAAACCGATCCCTCTCGGTTTACGGTGAAATTGAGAAAAGGATGGCAGATCTAGAGTTCAAAAAATCCGGAAAGGATCTTAGAGCTCTTAAACAGATTCTTGAAGCAATGCACAGATACAAAGAATCATTCGATACTACAAGTGATCAGGCTTCGAATTCTCCATACGACAATAGGAGTAATAGTAGTGTCAGTGAAAGCTTGAGTGTGAAAAGCCCGAGAACGCCGCAGAAGAACCCGACATTGATCACTGTTGAGAGGCCGAACTCAACTCAGGGTAGTAAATCACCAATTGTCATCATGAAACCAGCAAAGGTTGCAAGAAAAACCAATTATTCTTCGTCAACAGAAAGTTCAATTCATGGTAAATCATCGAGTAGCAAGGTTTACCGCGGTGATGCTACCAATGTCAAAGATCCTCGAGATAAAAGCAACAAGATAACTTCAAAATTGATCCAATCCTCAAAAGTTCCTCGAGTCGTCATTGCAGAAAACAACACCAGCTCCAGCATGATGGCAGAGACCAGAAGTCCGAGACTACAAAAAAAGTTCGGTTTGGAGAGACGTTCCCCGCCAACTAGCCCGTCATCAGATATCAGCAGTAACAGAAGACAGCAAAATAAGCAATCGACGGAATTGTCTTCCCCGAGTAAAACATCTAGGCAAAAATTCTCTACTTCAAAGGAAAGAAATGAAAGTTTCAGTGAGATCAGCTATCAAAGGAGGGAATTTAAGCAAGTTGAAGCTGTTTCTAGCGGTGATACAAAAGACTCGAGCAACGAAAACTTTATGGCTGAAACAAAAGTTACTGCAGAACAACCTAGTCCTGTGTCTGTTCTCGATGCTTCATTTTATAGAGAAGATCCACCTTCTCCGGTAAAAAGGAAATCAGACATCTCAAAAGATTTAGGTATGTTGATCACTTTATTTACTGATTACATTTTATGTGCCATTCACTTATGAATCCCTTCCTATATTTTTCAACAGAGGAAGTTTTGAACAATTGTGGTATTAGTGAAGAGGACTCAGAAGTTCTTGCTCTTTCATCGAATATGAACACAAAAGTCAACTTCTGCGACGGAACCAATGACATTGACTTGATAACTTGTAATTTGGTTCAAGTTCTTCAACAAATTGACGACAGTGATGATGAAAGACTCAAGAATTTCAGCAACCACGAAGATCCGGACCACAGATATATATCAGAAATACTACTAGCATCGGGAAGGCTCACCAGTCCCGGCTCTAGCAAGGCATTGCATTTGTCGGGTCACCCGATCAACCCAACATTGTTTCTTGCACTAGAGAAAATCAAAACAAACACGAATGTCAACATTGGGCAGACAAACAACACTCAAGAGAAGATGCAAAGAAAGCTCGTATTTGACGTGGTTAACGAAATTCTATCTCGAAAGCTAATAATCGAGAGTTCTTACAAGCCATATCATCCCGAACAAAGAAAACCAGAAGGACAACACCTTTTGGACATGGTTTTCACAGAAATCGATAAATTACAGCGTAATAATAACAACGTCGGTCTGGCTAATGAGGACGAGTATTTGACAAGTATTGTTTCGGAAGATTTGGTGCAGCATTCTGCAACTACAGAATGCTACAATGAGATACCAAATGTTGTGTTGGATATTGAAAGATTGATCTTCAAAGATCTGATAACTGAAGTTGTGAGAACTGAATAACTAACCATTCGAGTGAGTATCGCAGGAAACTGCGGTTACCAAGTAGGTTTAATCTGAGAACTTCATTTTCTATGTATACTTAATAATAGTATGAAGGGGTGATAATAATCTAATTAATTAACATTATAAAGTTTATTTGTTTCATAGAGTCATGATGTTTTTGGCTAGTATTTTCTTTTTTGCATGTAGAGATCAGACAAATGTATATATCAGTGACAATATGTTATATTACAATAACAAATGGCTTATATTTAACAACACTAGTAGTGTCTCCTTCCATAGATGATTCTGTAAGGAACTATTTTCATATTCACAATATTGAATATAAAATACAATTAACAGAAAAAGTAACTGTTACAAGAAATACAATTAAGATGATTCTCAGCGAAGAAATGTCTTTGCTAGGGCGAACTTGCGAAGAAGATCAATGTTGCTCTAATGGAAGGACCATGGGTCATCTATGATCATTATCTGTCGTCAGTCAGAAAATAGAGTCCAAACTTTTGTTTGACAAATGATGCAATTGAAGAAGTACAAGTCTAGGTTTGAATATCAGGTCTACCTATAGAATATCACTACTAAAAAATTTATGTTTAGTTACCAAATTAGAAACCAAAAAAAACTTAAAAATCTGTCACTATAACGTCTAACGACCAATAAAACGACTATCATTTTTCGGTTGGAAAAATGATAGTTGCTAACATTTAGTGTCGTATTCAGTAACCAAAATTTAGCGACCAAATTTGTGACACAAATAGCAACTGAATTTGTGACCGATTTTAGTTTGTTAAAAACATAAAATAATACATAATATACGCACGGATATAATCGAATCCAGGCCTTTTTCTTATCAACTTCAATATGTAATCATATAGATAAAATGGTGAAGATAAAACGGTAAGCGCATACGTAAAATGGTGAAGGTAGTTAGGAACATGTTGTTAAGAGAAAGGGGAAATATGCTAGATTGAGTGTTTAGGTTAATCTAACTAAACCAGTGTTAGTTATGTTTGTAAGTGTTTGTTGGCAGCAATTTTGATAGAACACTGTTTTGATAATGTTTTACTTAATGTCTTGACATTTGAAGTAAATCATCTCAACTGATTTTGAATGATGTCAAAGCAGATGTCTTAACATCCGCCTTCTGATCTGAACGTGTTTTTCAGATTTCCTGTTTCCTGTTTTCAAGCGCGCCTTATTCAGATTTTGTAGTTTATAACTTACGAAAAATATGGAAGAATATTTTTTGATCTGTCTTATCTTTATGGATTATATCATGGCCTACTTTCATGGATATATTCAAAGGATTCAATATATTACAATATTTGTTTTTCAGACTAAGACCATAAAGAAGTTGATGCACCTTTATAAGGACTTGCAACCTTATTCGTACAACTGCAACAATTGAAGAAAAATATACTCTTTGTGTTTAAAAGTCTGGATCTTTTAATTATAACACACTATAGTATTGTTTCAATACTTGAGTTGTAATTTGTTAGTTGAGTTGTAAATTATGGATCATTCATAATCTTTTAAGTATTGAATGATTGAGGTTTGTCAAACTTAATAATTCTGTTGTTTTTCACTGTTAGTGATTGAAGAGATTTGAGGAGGATCTCATACCTAGGTGTGTCTTAGGTAGAAATATAGCACGAATAGTGATTAAGTGATTAGATCGTAAACTGGTTGTTTACTGAGGGTATTTGAATTGATACTATTTAGTGGACGTATCCCTGGCTTGGTAGCCCCCAAAGTAGGTGTTGTTATACACCGAACTGAGTTAACAATTCTTTGTGTTTTTATTACTTTTATATTATTGCTTTTTATATTATCCTCAGATATTTGTGTCGTGACATATCCTTTGACATCACATATCTGTTACCAGAATTTCAATTGATATTAGAGCAGACATCTTGCTCTGTATCTGAGTGAGATTTAGGGAAGATACTTTCCGGTACTATGGACAAGGAAGGAGGATTTGTAAACAGACCACCCATTCTGGATGGAAGCAATTATGGCTATTGGAAACCAAGTATGGTGGCCTTTCTAAAATCTCTAGACAACAAGGCTTAGAAAGTTATCTTAAAAATATAGAAACACCCTGTCAAATTGGAAGAAGATGGAGAACATACTTCTGAGTTAAAGCCAAAAGAAGATTGGTCTAAAGAAAAGGATGAAATTTCACTTGAAAATTCTAAAGCCTTGAGTACTATATTCAATGGAATTGACAAGAACATTTTCATATTAGTAAACACATGTGAAAATAGCTAAGGATGCCTGAGGAATTCTTCTATCTACCCACGAAGGCACATCCAAAGTTAAGATGTCATGACTTCAGTTGCTCACCACCAGATTTGAAAATCTTAGAATGAAGGATGATGAAAGTATTAATGACTTCCATATGAATATTCTTGAGATTGCTAATGCATCAAGTGCTTTAGGAGAAAAAATACCCGAAGACAAATTGGTGAGAAAGATGCTTAGGTCTCTCCCCAAGAGATTTGATATGAAAGTGACTGCCATAGAAGAAGCACAAGACATTGACAAGATGAGAGTGGATGAACTTTTTGGATCCCTTCAGACATTTTAATTAAGCATCAATGAAAGATCTGAAAAGAAAAACAAAGGCATAGATTTTGTAACCAATACTGAAGATGAAGAGGAGGATTGTGAGATGGATACAAATGAAGGAATATCTAATGCTTTAGTTCTACTTGGAAGACAGTTTAACAATGTGATAAAGAAGATGGATAGGAACCCAAGATTAAATGTCAAGAACATCTCATCTGACATCCATAAGTCAAATGAATTTGGAAGAAAAAGAGCTGAAGAAAAATCCCCTCAAGGGAAGGGAATAAAGTGTCATGGATGTGAAGTTTTTGGTCACATTTGAGCTGAGTGTCCTACATATCTTAAGAAATAGAAGAAGAATTTATCTGTTACTTGGTCTGAAGAGGACTCTGAGAGTGATCTTGAAGAGGAATCTGCCAAGTATGTTAAAGCATTGACAGAAAAATATGTTTCTGATGAAGATTCTAGTGATGTAAACTAACATTTGATGAGTTAGCTGCCTCGTACATAGAACTGTATCTCAGAAGTGTAAAAGTTTACCAAGAAGGAGAGAAACAGAAAGCTCTCATAACTCAGTTGGAGGCAGAAAGGAAAGAGTATCTGAAAAATATCTCTAGTCTGGAAAGTGAAGTGACTTATTTGAATTCGAATCTTGACAGAATGGTCAAATCATTTAAGATGCTGAATAATGGGTCTGACACATTAGATGAAAATCTCCAAGTGGGAAGAGTGTCAGGAGACAAGAGTGCTCTAGGGTTTAATGAGAAAAGGAACCTTATTCAGAAGAACCTTCATCAGATTTCACTCATGCCAAGTCTAAACTAAAGATTTCGAATCAAATGTCTCAATATCATGGCAAAAATCATGGTAAGAAAAAATTTAATCACACCAGAGAGAAATTCCAGCCCTGAAAGTGTCACCACTGTGAAAGGTTTGGTCACATAAGATCTTTTTGTTTCAAGTTGTATAGGTACCCTAAAACTGCTCCTATTCCCAAGACTGATCAGATCTCTCAAAATAACAAAAAGAAGAAATAATGGGTTCTCAAGACTATTGTTGCTAGTCTCATAGCTCATACCTCTCTCAGAGTCTCAACCAAAGATGATTGGTACTTTGACAGTGGTTATTCTAGACACATGACATGTGTTAAGAATCTGTTGGTAGGTATCAAATCTCACTCCACCAGTTATGTGACTTTTGGTGATGGAGCCAAAGGTGAAATCAAAGGAGTTGGAAAGCTAGAATGTTCAGGAGTCCTGAAACTTGATAATGTGATACTTGTTAAAGGGTTAACAATTAACCTAATAAGTATAAGTCAATTTGTGATCAAGGGTTCAAAGTAAACTTCACCATGACAGAATGTCTCGTTTGCAATGAAAAAAATGAAGTTATTATGAAAGGAATCAGATCTAAAGACAACTGTTATTTATGGGTTCCCCAAGAGCTGAACTTCTCCTCGACATGTGCTTTAGCCAAAGAAAATGAAGTTAAACCGTGGCATCAAAAACTGGGACACTTGCATCTTAAAGGAATGAAAAGAATCATATCTATAGAAGCCGTGAGAGGGATTCCTAAGCTCAAGATAGAAGAAGGGAGAGTATATGGTGAGTGCTAGATTGGAAAGCAAACTAAGATGTCGCACCAGAAGATCCAACATATAACCACATCAAAAGTTTTGGAACTTCTTCACATGGACTTTATGGCACCTATGCAGGTTGAAAGTCTTGGTTGAAATAAGTATGCCTATGTTGCTGTAGATGACTTCTCTAGGTACACATGGATAAGTTTTATTAGAGAAAATCAGAAACTTTTGAAGTCTTTAAAGATATCTGTCAAAAAATTCAAAGAGAAAATGATAGCCATGTCATCAGAATTAGAAGTGATCATGGAAAGGAATTTGAGAACAATAAATTTTTTGATTTTTTTCTTCTGAAGGAATCAGTCATGAATTTTCCTCTCCCATTACTCCTCAGCAAAATGGGATTGTGGAAAGCAAAAACAAAACTCTTCAGGAATCTGCCAGAACTATGATTCATGCTAAGAAGTTACCCTACCACTTTTGGGATGAAGCTATGAATACTGCGTGCTATATCCATAACAAAGTCACTCTAAGAAAAGGCACCTCAGTCACCTTGTATGAAATATGGAAGGGAAGAAAAGCTACTGTCAAATACTTTCATGTTTTTGGAAGTAAATGTTACATCTTAGCTGATCGCGAACAGAGAAGGAAGATGGATCCCAAGAGTGATGAGAGAATATTCCTGGGTTACTCTATGAATAGCAGAGCTTACAAAGTCTTTAACTCCAAAACTAAGGTTATGATAGAATCCATAAATGTTATTATTGATGATAGAGGATGGAATGATGAAGAAGATGTATTAGAAGATGTTGGAACATATTTGTCAAACATTCCAACAGAATCTAATGAC